TTAGGCGTCTTGCAATCATACTCACGAGTATTTTGACCTTCGTGCTGTAATTATGGTAAGACTGAGACTTAAAGATTATTTCAGCATGATAATTCCTTCTGAACATCTTTTTCCTAAGAGTCATCTTTTGTCGACTAACTTCTCCATTCAAGAATAGCAACGGCTCGCTTTCCTCCAATTCCATTGTAAATTTTTATTTTTCACGAAGATTTAATAAGAGTATTAGGAACTAATAAAGTAGGAAAATTGACCATACAAAGTGGGATTTAAGGACGAGGATGCAGACGAAGAAGATGAAAAGGAGAGATAGTTGTTAGTACCCTGCGGCGCTATTAACCTAGATGGAACAGTTAAAAGAAATCCCCAAGTCGTTGAATAAAAATTGTTATCTTTAGTAGTGTTAGTAGTAGTAGTAGTAGTAGTTGTAGTAGTGGTAGTGGTAGTAGTAGTCGTCTCTTTACCTGAGACTGACGCGGTTTAACACGGTGCTAAATATGCTCTGAAATGTACCCAGTCAATGATCGGACGCTGCAAATCAACATGACTATTGCAGATTATGCCAGTTCTTCAAAATACCTTCGTTATACCAAAAAAATTGCGAAAACAAGGTTACCATAACTCACACAGCCAAACCTAAGGCCACAGTTTACTCTTTATATTTAAATGTATGTTTTGTGACATGACTTTCCGTTTCGAATGAAAAGTTGATTGGATTGAATTCGTGATGTGGTCGCGCCGCAAACCGAAGGAGGATTGCCACATGGGGAAGACTGTTGAATTGTGCCAAGAAGTCCTCGGCTCACAGTTTCATCGGATTAGCCGGATGGTGAGCCGAGGACTTCTTCGCCCAATTCAACAGTCTTCCCCACGTGGCAATCCTCCTTCGGTTTCCGGTGAGACCACATCACTAATTCCTACCAACCAACTTTTCCTTTGAAAAGGAAATTTTTGTCACAAGACATAAATTTAAATAGAAAGAGTAAGATGTGGCCTTAAGTTTGAAACCCAGTTTTTCTTCATAAATGTATGTCTGTTTGTTGGATCTTCACCAATAAGATGATTGCCATAAAAATAGAATAAAATGGGTCAAAGGCTGGCTTTGGTAGTATAAAATTATAAAACTTCCTTGATCATACTGCCTCATCCTGAATTTCTCTCTATTATGACATGAAATCTCAGAATTTTCTTCGAGTCTGAGAAAAAGCCTTCCAGTATTTCCGGGCTATGGCCAGCGATGACGTCAACGAATTTAAGTTTGAACATATCACAAGCGTCTTATAGCCAAGTGGATGTGGCACCTAAAGTGATGCAAAAGCCAGAAATTGTATAATTACTTCAATAAATAGATTACATCTTTAATCTTTCTCAATTGTGAAGCAAAAATAATGAGAATATTATGGCAAAAGCTCATCAAGAGAGCACTTTATCTTCGTTTCCTAGTAATTATCTCCACAAAATACATATTTAGACGGAAGAAATGGTTTCGTGACAGGAAGTCTATAACTTCCTTTATTTCTTAAGTTTATATGGTCTTTTCTATTTTAATCTTTACATTCAGCCACAAGGCTTACGTTTTATGTTAAAATTCTTACTTTATTGTCTAGATAAATACTTTATGCCTTATAAGTACTATCTTAAAGTGCAAATTAAATTATTTTCCCGTCATTTTGAATAGCTTTGTCGGTGCTGGTTTGTGAGTCCTATTCCGGTGTCTAACCGCCTTCCTCTTGCAAACAAATTGGCCAATTTGGGCAGTCATGGAACTGGCTGTTGTTCGAGGGACTCACGATCGAAAATGAAGGTTATGCCAATAGAACCATCCACGTCAGTCGCTGCAATCAAGCCTGATTCCCACCAAGCTAGTCTAAAGAAACACTTGATTATGAAATCGGGAGTGATGATTCAGGGAGCTAAAGTTCCAGGAAAAACAACCAATAGCATCGGGACCTGGCATTCAGATTATGCCACATATGAGGTTGCGAAAGTGGAACAAGAAGAATCGACTTGCCTTAATAATGAGAGTTATGCGGGTGATGAGGAAGATGAGAATATTCCAGTAGGCTGCCATTTAGGGCTTGAAAGGGTGGAGTGCGAACAAAGACGGAAAGCCGTCCAGGGAATCAGGAATTCAAAATGTGATGAAGATTCGGCATCTGATTTTGACAATTGTAGGAGACATTCCGAGGATGTATTTCCAGGTGTCTATGACAAACACGCTTCAAAAGATGAAGATAAATATGAAGGCCCTCGGCATCTCATGCTCTATTTGCTTCAAGCAATTTCCGAGACTCGCCTTTCTACTTCGTCATCCTGCTTATTTGCTCCGTTAACCAATTATGAGTGTTCTTGTCGACTTCCATCCCAGACCACATCAGGGAACAGGGTGAATAATACCTCACTTACTCCACAAATGTCGTCAACTTTAGAAAACGAATCAGTTAAAATACAAACATCGACTAATGAAACAGCCAAGAGTTGTCATACCTATTTTTGCGACACATCAAGCCATATACAAGAAGGGGAACCGGCGGAAACGAGGAATGACAGCATGACCTTTTCTGCTAAAGATGAGAGGCACGCCGCAATCTCACATGCCCCCTGCTCTCATCCATCATCCTGTTCTCCGTCTTTGCTAAGTTGTCAATTTAGAAGTGTTCTTGACTCTGTCTTGACTATACAGCAGCTCGATGAAAGGTATCTAAACAATTGCATTTTTCACCAAATCTCTCAAATACGCACATGCATGTAGCTTGTTTTTTATCATAGCATGGATGTAAAACTTAAACCCTGGTAACTAAAATGTGACAAACTTGAATCGTCCTTGCTTAGAGTGATAAATATGTCCTTAGTATGACTCATTGCTGAGGCGTACAATTTAAATTAATTTTCTGGGTGGCTTAATAAAGCATATGCAAGCTTTACTGTAGGAACTCTTGGCAGCCAAGAAATACAAACACTTCTGGCATTCGTATTATCCCTCATTCGTCAGTTGGATCCATAGTATGGTCTTTACCATTTGCCATCTTATTAGTTTGTAAATATGCATCTTAAAGCTAGTTATATAAGATAGACTGTGTAAAATCATATATTACCAGTTGAATGATCGACATACACATTGATATGATTAGAAATTA